ACCAACTTTCTTTGCTTTATGAAAATATTTTGGTTCAGCAAATATGCTATTCTATAACATTTTCCATTGTTTGTGTAAAGAACTATTCTGTCAATGAACTTGTATTGTTTGTGTGTGTAAACTTTGTTTGCTTCAATTCGAAGAGATACTCAAATACGTCCATCTTTTTATTCTAAGTAAAATGTCATTTCCGAAAAATAGAAGCGTAAGTGTTTCAAAAGGTTTAATGGCGGTGGCAGATGTGAAGTTAAATTCACCAACTCAAACAAACAGTCAAAGTGTTGTTGTCAATGTCAAAGAAAGAGATGTTGAAGTGGGGAAACCATACGAAGACGAAGATGGTATAACAATAGTTCCTGTAAAAGAACAACCAACATACCCTGAAGTTAGCAGAGACTTAAGTTCTGTTGCAGATATTCGAAACGACTACCAACAACTTAAAGACAAACTTAAAACTCAGGAGAAGATTTGTCAAGCTTTGGTATAATGTTAAACTTGGTCGAACACAACCCTGTAAAAGTGAACTCATATGTCATCGCACCTCATGAAATTTTGAAAGAACTATTGAAACTTTTGACAGAGGCAGACGATATAAACATCAAAGAAATAGAACCCGACATTGCTTGCTGTGGTGTTTCATATAATGTCATTGACAAGATATACGTTATGAAAGGAGGTGAAACGTTGAACTTAAAATATAGTTTCCCAGACGTCATAAAAATATTTGACGACCACAACATTTCATTAAAATTTACTTGCTAAGTAAATGGCAGAAGACATAGTGGTTTATACTATTACGACTAAAAACCCTGAGTCATATAATTCTATAACAACAAACTTACAAAGTCCTCAAGGACGATATTGTAAACTAACTTTAAACACGATGACGACTAAAGCCTGTTTTGCTCTTTTGACACCAGAAGACTTTGTTGTTGTGAATGGTAAAAAATACTTCTTTGAAGATACTTACTCAGATATACCACCAACAGGTTTTGTTGACTTATTTAATACTTTAAGGACGGATGTAACATGTGCTGCAACTAGAGCAGGTTTCATTATGTTTGGATGTCCGACTGAGTTTAGTATAAACGATATGAGCTATAATACAAAACTTATATCTGGTTTTTACTACCAACAGTTTCCTATAACAGGAAAAGGTGTCATACAAGGAATGTCTGTTCCATTGACTTTAAGTACACCTATTTTATATATTGTTTCAAACTTAGGTTCAAAGTGCTATTCGAATGTCGACAGAAACTACTATGACCAAAAGATACTCATGCGTATAAACAACACTTTCTCTGCTGGTTTGCCTATTGTTCATTCGAATGCAGAGTTTTCAGCTTTAGTAAACTCAAACACTTTAGCAAACATAAACTTAACCTTAGTTGACGCAAACTTTGTTCCTGTAAAACTTTTATGTCCTATGTATTTGTCAATGACGGCAGAAAGTTTCGAATTGGAAGATGCAACTGGTGAAAGTATTGTACTACAAGAACAACTTCAACAACAAATAGCTCAAGAACAACAAATGAACAAATGCAACAAATGCAACAAATGCTCAAGAACAACAAAGTCAAGAAAAAAAATATTTTTTTTTATTTTTATAAAAATGTACAGAATAGACGTTTCAGATTTTTATGACTTCCAAGCCTTCAGAAATATGTGTCCATTTAGAGACTATAACAAAGCAGTCGAGAATTTGAAACGTTTAGTCATTTATGTCGACTCTGCCCCAGAATGTTATGTCATGAAAGAATGGGATGTTGTCTTTAACAAACCAAGAGCAACAATAGTTTCAGAACAAGAATGTAGACAGAAACTTAAGAAAATAAAAGTCGTACAAGTTGGCATGAAGATGTTAGATGCTTGGGATATCTTATTGTCAAAGTTAGAAGATTTTTCAGTTCGTGGTATAAAGTTTTATACACCTTCTCCAAACTTCTATTCTATCTTCACTGGATATAAATACGAACAAGTAGAATGGAAAGAAAATATTATAGAAGCTTGGTTAGACCATGTCAAAGAAATTATATGCAATGGAAACGAAAGAGTCTATGAGTATATCTTATGTTGGTTTGCAAACATCTTACAACATCCAAGTGCTAAAAATGAAACTGCTCTCATTATAATTGGAAAACAAGGAACTGGTAAGAACACTTCTTTACAGATATCTTTGCAAACTGTTAGAGGGCTATTCGAATCCGAATATGACAAACTTAGAAAACATCTGTAAATTTAACTCTCAATAGAGAATATGAAACTTATAGTTTGCAATGAACTTCAAAGTATAGATACAACAAAGTTTTAAACTCAGATGCTTTGAAGAGTCTTATAACAGACAAAGTTGGAGTTGTTGAAAGAAAATATAAAGACCAAAGAGTTTGTGAAAATGTTGCAAATTTCATTATGGTTTCAAACAATGCCGTTCCGATGAAGTTAGAAAGTTCTGACAGAAGATATGTAGTTGTCAGAACGTCAGATTCTCATATGCAAGATACAGAATATTTTGACGACTTAGCAGAAACTTTGACATCTGACTTTTACAACCACTTGTTCTCATATTTCATGACATTAGATATTTCTAAGTTCAATCCAAGACAAATTCCACATACCGAAGAAAGACAAACATTGTTAGAAGCAAACAAGAGTGTATATGAACTGTTCATAGATGAGACTAACTTTGAGTGTTTAGATGAAAGGTCATTGTACGATTCGTATAAACAATATTGTCAAGAGTATGGTTATATGGCAGCTCTAAACGAACATTCTTGGCAAATGTCAAAAGTCTTTTAGATGTTCACAGAACGGCGTATATACAAAGAAAAATTTTTCTGAGTAAATTTTAAAAAAAATATTTTTTTATCCGATAGAAAAGATGGCAAAATTCATCTCAGTCAACAAGTACATGACAGAAGTCAAAGAAGAACTAGACCCATTCGCTTATTTGAATGTTTACTTCTACCATTTTGAAAAGTCTACATTTGACAAAGTTTGGAACATCGAACCAGTTAAGTTTGCTATTGTGACTAAAAATGGTGCGAAATTTGAAGACTTAGACATAGAAGGTTTGTTAGCAGTCAAAGAAAATTTTGACAGAAGGTTTTCAAACCTTAAAGAAGGCAAAGCATACAAACTTGTTATACCTTATGAACCAAAGAAAGCAGACGACTATGAATATTATGAGTCTAAGATAGTTGAAGTTCAAGGTAAATTGGGTAAAAAGATTTTAGAGTCTAAGCCAGTGTTTGCTCCTAAAGAGGAAGAGAACATTGACATTGACCCAGAAATGTTCTAAAAATAAAATTTTATTTTTACATGTCAAATTTCTTTTTCTCTGGCTCTGGCTCTGGCTCTTTCTTCTCTTCTTCTACTTTCTTTTCTTTCTTTTCTCTCTTCTTCTTCTTTTCTGGTGGAGTTATGTCAAATTTCTCAGAACCATATTTATGTAAAAGTTCTTTGTCCTTTAATAGCTCTTCTATTCTGTTTTCTATTTCATCTTCAAGAACAGCGCATGTGTCTTCTTTGCATTCTAAGAACTTTTGTTGGACTTCATCTTCCAAGAGCGTCATCTCTGTCAACAAGTCTGTCATTGACAAATTAAAGACTTCTCTGCTAATGTTTTATGGTTCTTGTCATATTCCCAGAAACAGAACTTTAGAACAAATTCACCTTTCTTGTTTACACTATGTAAGATTTTATGGTCGACAGAAGTTTTGAGTCAAAAAGCTTGTCTCGAATATAGATAGCGAAATCGCTAGACATTTTCTAAAAGATAAAAATTTTAATTTTTCTAAAAATATGTTAGAAAAAAAGTTTGCTGACATTGACAAGAAATTTGAGAATGTTTTAAAAAGAACAAGAGGAAGTTAGAAAATGCTCAGATAAAGCCTATACATGACAAGTTCTTATTTGCTCAGAATGGTATAACAGGTCTAATCGCACCACCTGGGTCGGGTAAGACTTTCACTTATCTTAAAATGGCTGCACAACAACAAGAACTAGATGAGAAGAACCCATTCTATGAGTTAGTTGTCATTTGTAGTACTTCTGGTCAATTTGACCAAACCGTCAATTCGTTCAAAGATATTATAAAGAAGTCTAAGTTAGTATGTATAAAGATACTGAGTTGTTAGATTGGATAAAGAAGTACCAAAGAAGAGTTTTGAAGTACAATGCTATAAATGAGTATATAAATTCTAAGTTTAAAGACCCAAATGAGGAAATGCAAAGAATATTAGAGAAGAAACACTTCAGAAACAAACAGAAAGAGATAGAATACATTTCGAAGAAATTGCAATCTTACGATTGGAAGACTTACCCTCATAGATGTCTTCTTATCTTAGATGACTTTGCTTCTCATCCTTTGTTAAAGAACAGAGAACAAGATATGTGTCGAATTCTTAAGAAGCTCAGACACTTTAACATCTCAGTTGTCATTTGTGTACAGACAGCAAAGAGTTTAAGTAAAGATGTTAAAAGAATACTTACTGACATTATACTTTTCCCTGGATTGTCCGAAGACGATTTCATGGAACTTATGAAAGAGTCCATGGCAGGTAAGTTTGACAGACATGAACTATGGGAGAAGTACAAAGTCATACAAGACCCTCATACTTCTTTCAGAATTCATATCTACGCAAACAAAGTTCAAATTGTAAAAAGTCAATAAAAATAAATGGTTCATTTACTCTGCTTGTTTGAAGTTGTCAAAATACTCTGTTATTTTTCACGATTTTCATACGGAATTCAATAAAAATATATTTTAGGGTAGAAGGGTATATCTACCCCGTTTTCTACCCTCATTTCTACCCCAGTTATTTTATAAACGTTTCACATGGTAAACGTTATTTTTTAAATTTTGTGAAAACTCAACGGTTTGACACAAGCCCTAAAAATTATTTTACTCAGAATTTTGTTGCTGAATTCAATAAAAATATATTTTAGGGTAGATGGGTATATCTAACCCGATATCTAACCTCATTTCTACCCCAGTTATTTTATAAGCGTTTTACATGGTAAACATTGTGAATTCGTGAAATTCTAAACAATTTCGTAGCTTCTATTTCTTCTGTCAGTACATCGAATGTTTTAACAATGCCGAAGGTTTCTTTATATTTCTTCTTGACATCTGAAAGAAGGAAATCGTCAGCTGTTGGATAGTTTTTGTTTAGAAATGTCAACATGTCCATTTTATCTTCTGCTGGTTTCTCTGCCTCCCTCTTTAAGTCAGCATAGTCGTTTCTCATACGTTCTATCTCTTTGACGGAGTAGTTATATTTCCTCATTGCTGCCTTACATTTTGAACATTGCGGGTTCATTTTTGCGTTATATTCTGAAACCTTACCTGCTAGTATGACTAAGGCGTCAATTGCTCTCTTTAACTCAAAAGTTGCGGGTTTTATCTGTTCATTCCATATCTTACCTCTTCTATCTTTATCTCTTATCTGCCATACACATTCAGCAACTAACGAAACAAAGTTGTCGTAGGTCTTAAACTCCCCAGATTTGTATATGTCAGAGATGTTCTTATATACCATATCGCAATCTTTGTCGATTTGTTGGTTGCAATGAAATCCAAGAAACTCATAGTTTACCTTTCGTATGAACTTCTTTATTTCTACTGAGTCAGTTGCTTTGACTTCTATTTCATCGAATTCAGGAATAGTGAGCTTTTGTTGCTGAATTTCAGGCAATTTGGGTAAATGGTCAATAATATCCTGCATTTCATAAAGATATTCTTCATTTGTTTCATCTTTCGCACAACAGTCCAAAGTACTTGTTAAAAGTCTTGCTTTATCTTCTGGATTTTTGTTTCGAAAGTATATGAAGAAGGAATGAAGCTTTTCATCTCTACTACATTGAAGTTGGGTTCATGACTAACGAGTTTGGTGCTGTTGTTGCTAACATGTTCTTACAATAAAAATAAAAAAATATTTTTTTAAAAAACCAACTTTATTTTTATTTCGGGAAAACTCATGACAAATTCAAGAGGGTAGAAAAGAGGTTAGAAAAGAGGTTATATCTAACCTTCTACCCTAAAATATATTTTTGCCCGAATTCATGAGTTTTGGTTGAAAGAATACGGTGGAGCCAAAAGTGCTCGACCTCAAAACAAGCATTTTCTGTATAAAATTCATGAAAATTCATGAGGTTAGAAAAGAGGTTAGAAAAGAGGTTAGATATACCCATCTACCCTAAATTATATTTTTGCTGAATTCAGCAACAAAATTCAAATTGTAAACGGTTTAATAGAAAAAGTGTTATTTTTTCATGTCCGAAGACTCGAAGGTGCAACACTTCCAAAATACCGACGAACTCAGAAGAGCAGCATGGCAGTATGTTCTTGACAACTTCTTTGAGTTCTCCAGGAACACCTTGGAAAATGCTGAAGAACTCCGACACAGAGAATTTGGAGAAATTGCACTCCAATACTACCTTGACAAACAAAGGGTAAACAAAGGGTAAACAAAGGGTAAAATAAGACTAAAAACTTAACGTTTAAAAAGTGACATTTTTATGAGCTCCGAGTCACCGAGAAAACTTGGTCAGATGTTAGCAGCTTACTTCCCTGAGGAGGATGGAAGCGTTACATACGTAAGGTTCAAAAACAACGAACCTGGAATTGCGTACCAAATTCGCAATTACATGACCATGGAAGAGTACGAAAGGTTCCTACAAGAGAAACCAGCTCTAAACAACTCAGAAAAGAAAGAGTAAAAAGTTTAACTCGTAATTGTTTATTTTTTTACTTGTATGGGCAAGCTGCAAGAATGAAGTCGACTATCTCGGTCTTTGTCTTGACCAGTTGGACTGCTCTTGCGAGTACGTCTGTTTTACGGTCTCCAGCTGGTGTCTGACCTTCGTAATTGCGCATGTTCTTGAGAGCTCCAACTGTAAATGGTTGTAGGATGAAGAGTCTCTCAGACTGCTTGAGGTAGTCGTCACGGTCACGAACCGAATCTGTGGTACGAGTCGAATTGGTCGATTTGAGGGAAGAGACTGAGAGCCTGTCTTCTTCCATTGGAGCTGTAGCATACTCTTTGCGTAACGGTTCAGACCTTCTTCGAAGTCTTGGTCTCTCTTCGATTGAGATTGAGATTGGAATTGCTGGGGTGGAGCTTGCTGGAACATCCAAGGGTTGGGGAAGTAAGGCATAGGCTGAGGGAGGGTAGTTCGGGAAGCCTTGTGGTGGGTAGTAACCTTGAGGGGAAATTGGTAGTAAATCGAGGTACTTGCTGGAACTGAGGTTGCTGAGGAGACTGTTGTGGTTCTGCAGCTTTCGGTTCTGCAGCTTTCGGTTCTTCTGGCTTTGGAAGGGTTCAGGAAGAGGAACGTCAGTCATCCGTTTGTGTCCTGTCGGAAGGAAAAACTTTTTGTCGGAAGGAAAAACTTTTTCTGTCGGAAGGAAAAACTTTTTCTGAAGTTCGACCAAAAGTTCTCAATTTTCGAAAATTTGAATGGTTTACGGACGGACAACTGGAAGAGTCCTTCCTGTCGTCGGAAAATTTTTTCCAGTTGTCGGGAAAATATTTTCCTGTCGGATGGAAGGACTCGGAATACCAGAAGGATTTGACGAGGCAATTTACCTTATAGAGATAAATGAAGTTGTTAAGCAGTACTTGCGCAGGGTAATGAAGCCCAAGGTCAAGTTCACCACTATTTCTGGAAGGTCTACACTTCAGCTCGAGACTTCGACTGGAATTCCAATTCAAATACCAGACGGGACAGCCTACGATGGCATAAAGGACGCCAAAAGAGAAGCTCTTGTTAAGTTCCTAAACAAACGTCCTTGGATAAAAATACCAAACAAGGAGAACCCCTACCCCATATGAAATTGGCAATTCAGTCTCTCCTTCACTTCTCGGGTCAGCCGTTCTACATAACCTGTGAAGGCGACATCCAACCAGTTCAGTCAACCTTAACGTTTTGAGTAAAAACATTTTTTTCATTTTTTGAATGAAGCAAGTTAAATTCGTCCCACACCAATCTCAATGGACCGATGAAGAGTTTCAAGCTATGGTTGAAGGCGTTGAGAACGACATAGACGGCGAACTTGAAGGAGCTCAAACCACAATTGCAACCAAAATTGCACAAGTCAAGGAACAGATAGCTCCACTTAAAGCTACCAAAGCTACTCTTGACCTCATGGATAGTTACCGTTTAGATGTCAAGAGTGGAATAAGACAATTAAAATTAAAACTTCTAAACTACGAAGCTATACTCCAAAAGTTAGCAGAAATGAGAAGACTTTACCAGAGCTACTTACATGTAAGGGACTTACCTTCAAGCAGTCCGACCAAAGATGAATTTTCTGACATTGTCCCAATTTTGTCCGAAAGTCAGCTCAGATGTTTTGAACTGCTCCCAACATATCCAGAATATGAACGTTTGCCTGAACTCTTCCGCAATCTCAAAAAACGTTTTTTGGTTCTCATGTTCGAAACTTTTATCGGAAGAGACAACAAACGTTCAGAAGAAGAACAAGATATTATTTTAAACTTGTTGTATGACTTAACCGTCATAACAAGCTTTTTGAAGTAAAACCGTCATTCTCAAACCACTTCATTTTTTCGATGTCCGAACAAGCACCGAAGCCGAACACAATGGCAGATGTCCTTTCAATGTTGCCAGACAAGCGCCCAGTTCAAATTCAAATTTTGAATTTGAAAGCTCATCTGACAAACACCGTTAAGACTCTCCAAAGTAGTCTTATGGAAGAGATGACCAAGCTCAAAGCCGATGTCCTCATGAACCAAGCTTCCAATGAGAAATGCCTGAATGATTTGACGGAAACCTTGCGCATTTACGCGAGAGAGAACCGAGACCTTGCCAGACTCATCTACCGTTTCTTCGAAGAGATAGACGCCATCTGGAAGGTACTCGGAAAGGACAGAACCTCCAACACCGTAATTCGTGAACACAGAATTGCCGAAGGTATTATCAAAGAAGAGGAAGAAGAGGAAGAAGAGGAAGAAGAGGAAGAAGAGAAACACGAAGAAGAGGAAGTTTGGGCAACCCTTGTTGCCGATGACACTTACGAAATTTCCCAACCCTACCATACAAATCCGCAACAAGGAGACAGGCAAGGTTCTTACCCCAGTCCTCAACAACTTGGGACACTTGAACCTTAACCTTCGGAATCGCGGTTCAATCTCCATGGGCAAGCTTGTCGCAATTCAATGGGTTCCAAATCCAGACAAGAAGACGAGGGTCAGACACATTGACGGTGACAAGCTCAACAACCGTAAGGAGAACCTCGAGTGGTTCTAAGAGTAAAAAAATTTTATTTTAGGGGGAAACCCCAAGTAAATTTAGGTGTTTATTTGGATAAGTAGCTTAAATTAAGGATAATTTGGACAAGTAGTTCCTGACCTCTGAATTGGACTCTTTCGTCATCCCAGTTGCGTAGGAGGTCGTCCCAGAGGAGTTGGTAGAATTGCCATTCCAAGGACGATTTGTCCTCCCAGGCATTGAGGATGTACTGCTCGTAGAGTCTCATGACCTCTGCCTTGCACCAGACACCCTCTCCCTTGGAACGTAAGGCTTCTTCGAAGTGCTCGAATGCGATTGGCTGCGGGACCATCTGAAATGACACTTTTTGTCCGTTTGGTCAATGTTCGTGTCTCGTGTCATAGTCGACGAAAATACAAACAAACAGGTTATATATGAGTTTGAGACCAAGAATGGTGTAACTCGACCTGTCCGATTCAAATTCGAATAAAAATTTTTTACTTCATGCAATGTTTTATTTCTGTGCCGTCTTCAAGTATGCCCCAGTACTTACGCTTGGAGAGGACATGAACTTCGGTGAAAATTTTGTCCAATTTGAATTGACCCATCTTTTCACCGACCATTCCCATTTCAATGAGTTTGTTATAGCCTTCTTCGTTCGTCATGAGTGCGTCAATGTTCTCATAGTAAACCTTCACTTTGGATTTGACTTCGGAGAAGAATTTGTTGTAGTTGTCAAGGACTGCCTTTGCGAACTGAGGATAGGACCAATGTTCGACAATAGGTTTTAATGTGGTTACTAAGCCACTTTGACCTTGAGTGAATTCGTACTTCAAAACAAAAGGAGAAAACCTTTCAACAAAGTTGTCGACCTTCTCATAATGTTTACTCTTCATCTCTTGAGGTTTCTTAATGGAATATCCCCATGTCGAATTCATAAGCAATTTGAGTGTCATTGCAAGTTTGGGGTTTGAAGCTTTCCTAATATCATACAGTTGTTGTATGACTTTTCCAACTGTATAGTTCCTTCCTGGGAACTCACCGTCTTCGTTTGGAATTCCAGTCGGGATATATTGGACAAACCTCATGTATGCAGCGTTAAGGTCGACATAGTATATCTTTTCATCTGAGTCGAACTTGTCGCATCCAATCGGACCAGTTTTTGGAAATTCAAGTGAGTCTCTTATCTTCTGAGAAACTTCTCCTGTTATCTCATAAACATCGTCGAAGCAACCTGTTTCATATAAAACCTTCTGACCTAACTCAGAAGCTCTCCAATACAATTTGACGTCAATTGGATGTCTCAATGGAAGTTTGTTTATAGCATCTTGAAGTTCTTGCAACCTCATTGGAAGTTCTTCTGGTTCAGGTTGGTATCCGAACAATCCAACTCCTTTTGGAATTGTGTACTTCTTTTGTACTAGAACTTTGTCTGGAACAACTTTTGGTCTTGCTAACAATGAAAAGTTTGTTTCGTCTTTTGGTACAAAAGTTTCTGTAAGCTTGTCATCTGGAATTGGTTCCAACAAACCTTTCTCGAAAAGAATGTTTACAGCTCTGACAATGTTGCACTTGCCTTTTCCGAACAATGGGTTTGTAAGACTTTCGTTCAACATGAAGTGGTTGTGGACAATTACAATCTTCAACCATGGTAAATTGAACTCAACAACATAGTCGTCATGTGAAGAACCTTTAGCTGTAGGTATGTTGACTCGGATATTGACATTTGCCAACGGTGCAATTTTTGCCAATTGACCTCTGAGAATGTACCTTGTCTTCACACATGACTCAAGATACTTCATCTTCTCTTCTGTAACAAGACCAGAGTTCCTGAGACATGTAAGAATGCAAGGTTCATTGACAATTGTTTCAATTGAATTGTAAATTCCATACCTTGTCAAGTCAATGTCAGACTTATTTATGAACGGGAAGTATCCAGCATGTTGTCTGACTGCTTGAGGGTTAGGTTGGTACCATTCAAATTTTACACTTGCAATTCCTTCAATTGCATTCAAAATGTCTGAGTCGGAGTCAACCATTTGTTCTCTCTTTGTAGTCTTGAAAGCGTCAAGAAGCATTGCAGCTGTTGTGACATTGCCATGTGCATAGTAAATGTGACCGTCCAAATCTGTTATGGTTAGTCTGAGATTGTATCCTTTCTTATTTCCGTCTTGTATGGCAGCAAGTACACCCATGAAGCCTTCTTTGTTCTTTCCTTCGTCAAAGTTTACTGTAAAGGTTCGACCAGATGTAATTTGACTTCTAACTTCACGATACTTTTCATATGCATATCTTGTTCTTTCCATGGGAGCATGTGCGTCTTCACCTTTTCCTTTTTTCCTTCTCAAGGATGCAATTGTTCGTCATGTTTCCAGTAGAATTCTGGCAAAGCCGTCGTGTCCTTCAACTTGAGGTTCACTAACATCGAAAGGCATGTCCATAAGACGTTCTTCCTTCTAACCTCTCTAGTCTGTTTTGGATAATTTGCGCGTGCTGTTTTAAGTCCATTTCGTAGCAAGACCAGACAATTTGTCATAGACTTTTATGGGTCTTCCCTTCCTATATTTAAAATTCTTCGAAACTCTCCAACCATATCTTTGTAACTCTGCTTTTTATTCTAGCAGACTTTCTATCCATTCTATATGGGGGCATTTTTATAAAAATATAAAAATGTTTTTTTCTTTACTTTACATAACCACCTGCTGCCATAAGTCTTTGACGCCAACCCATACCAGCTAATGAAGGTTGAGTTGGTTTAGTTTGGAAACTAAACTTTGGTTTTGGTTTATCTTCAGTTTTTGGTTTTTCTTCTTCTATCGGTTTTTTCGTCACTTTTTCGGTTCCTCTGACTTTACCTCACTTGCAGGTATGGTAGTGTTGTCAACATCTTCGTAAATATCATATGCCATTTGTTTTGTTTTCCTTTCAACTTTTTTGTGTTTGTTGTAAAGTTTAGAATATTTCGACTCTAAGTCAATGAGATGTTCTATAATGAACTGTTGGTCAGTGAAGTAAACTTTTCCATCTGTTGTCTCGAAAGCTCCTTCAGACTTCAATATTTTATTTGTGAGAGTCTGTTTCTTTTTTGAGATACTAGCCGTTCCATTTCTATGAAAGTGACTTTGTAGTTAGGGTTTGTATTTCCAGACCTGGCACTTTCTATTATTGAATTTTTCTCTTCATCTGTAAGTTCTTTGACAGGTTTTGACAATGGTTCTGAACTTTTTGTTTGTGGTGTCAAATCTACCGTTTCAACTTCTTCGGTCATTTCATCTCAGTAAAAATTTTAGTTTGTTTTGTTTTCAACTGGTTGTTTAGGTTTTTTAAGTCGGTCTAAAACTTCCTGAGGTATAGGAAGAACTTGACAAAACGTGGTTGTGTAACTGCTGGAAGCCGACAAATCCATCTTGAACCCATTTGTCTCAATGCTGTATTGTTCATTTCATCTCAGTAAAAAACTTTACATTCCCCACGTTTGAGGCGGTTGAGGTTGGTTATTGTTTACCCATTGTTGTGCATGGTTATATCCTCTGTTAAAGAATCTTTCACCTTGGTCCATGTAGTGTCCTGCTTGGTTATAGTAGTCATTTGCTTTGTTATAGTAGTTTCCTGCTTGTCTTCCTACATTGTCCATCCATCCTTGAACTTTTCCTCTTGTTTCAGGATTTGGAATAAGATTTGCTGCATCTCGTGCTACATCCCAACCTTTCTGTACAGTTTGTATAATAGGTTGTGCTTTCTCTTTAAGTATACCTAATGTACTCAAAATCTTCCTTCCAACTCCAAATACACCTCTGGCTATTGTTCCAACTGCGGGCAAAAATCTAGATGCAACTCCTGCTAACGCGCCAAATAAACCCATTTCTTATGGGTTAAAAAATGACGAATCCAAACAAGGACCCGTATGTTTCTAAAGCAACAAAGAAAGCACTCATGGTAAAAATCTTTAGTTCAACACCAAATGCTTGGTTTATGGATATCTTGGAAAACATTCCGAGGTATAGAGAAGATGGACCACCATACTGGCTAATATTTGTCGGTCAAAACACAAGATACTGTGAAGCCATACCATTACAGTCCAAAAATATTTTAGATGTGAAAACTGCTTTGACAATATTCGTTGACAAATACCATCCAACAAAACTGACATCTGACTGTGAACGTTCTTTCAAATCAGACGATATTAAAAACTATCTGCGTTCAAAAAATGTAAACCAATATTTCATTGTCGACCAAAACCATTCTGCTCTTGGTGTCATTGACAGTTGTATAAAAATCTTAAGAGACTTAAACCAACCACAAGGTGGTGAAGCAAATGAAATGTCATATGACGACAAATACAGACATTTCTCCATGGCAAAGATGAGACAAGTTTTAAATATTTACAATAGCCGTAAACAAAAAGGTTTGGGAAACCACTCCCCTGAAGAAATGAAAAACAACCCCGACTTAGAGAAAGACTATATATTTAATAGTTTAGTCAAAAGAGACAAACAAGAAAGAATGCCAGGCTTCAAACTTAAGAAAGGTGACAAAGTAAAAATAGAAATACCTAAACGCGACCCATATGAAAATACTATTGACTATGACAACAATGGGAACTCGACAGGTACTCACGTTCGTGTTCGTAAAAATAGAAGAAAGTATACAAGAGAATATTATGAAGTTTTAGGCAAACATGGCAAAATGTACAGACTGCAAGCAGAAGATAAAACTACTATTGTCAGACCTCGTTTCAAACTTGTCAAAGTTCAAGGTGGTATACTTTCAAAGACAGTTCCTAACAAATATAAGACAACTCCTGACGAATATGCTAAAGAAGTTGAAAATGACGACTAAGCATTTCTATACCATGCGTAAACTGTCATGTAAGGTGGCATGTAGTCTTTACTTTGTCCCGTTGTTTGCGTATACCCTGAAACGCGATGTGTATGGTTTCCTTCTCCCTGTGTGCTACCCCAGAAACAATTTATAGCAAACTGAACGTTGTCTTTAACATCATATCCTTTACCTTTTTTCATTGCTGACCAATCCCAAAATCTATGCTTATGCCAACCTGCTTGAGATGTACTTAAATCTATGTAGTGACTATGCGCAGGTAAGTTTTCACCTGAAATCGTTTTACTTCCACCTGTTTCCTTTGAAGAGTTTGCACAATACAAAAACCTGTCGACTATTTGAGTCCAAGTTCCAAAACCAAGTACTACTTCTGGTCTGGTAGAGTTCATTGACGTGTAAATAGAACCTATAGGATATAGTGTTTGAAGTATTTCTGTCTTTAACGTTTGAAGCTCTGTTTTGTCAGCTTTTTTATCATATAAATCTTGAGCAGTGAATTTAACTTTTTTTTCATCCTCCATGACATAGACATTTCTACATCTAATGTATCTCATCGTTGTTATGTCTTCTTCCGATGTTAAACCTTGTGGAAAGTTAGGAGGTTTCCAATTTAATACATCCCCACCAGTTTCTTCAACCGTTCCTTCAATATTTTCTATACCAACAGTTGCGAAGAAATCGTGTGTATGTCCAACGTCACTTTTCCTGTTTAAGGTTTCTTGTAAGTTTGTAATATTTGCAATGGTATGTGTATGAGTCTTTTTAGAATATTCTTTGTCAGCTCTTGTCACTTCACTTGACATTTTATTGTCAACATATGTTTTATCTGCTTTGTCATCTAACATTGCTGGTAGTTCATCTACGTCATAGATGTTATGTGTATGATGTTTTTGTGGGTATGTTCTATCTGTCCATGCGAGAATATAGTCTCTTGTTGCATCTACATACTCTTTGTCAGCTTTGTTGTCAATATCTGCCTTCAAAAGAAGTTCATCTATAGGTTTCTCGTTTAAAGTTCTTTTTGTTGGATTTATACAAACAGTATGGTTCTTACTGTCTTGAAACAGAAACTCGTCTGTCAATGGGTTTATCGTCAGTTTTAAGTTTCCTTCTTTCAATGACTCAGATATCTTAGAATAGTTTGAAAAGTTTGTTGTGTTCTTATTTAGAGCTTGCATAATGAGTTGTCGGTTGTGTTGTATTTCTCTCATGGAAGCAATATCTTTCGACATTTTTATTCTAGATAAAATATGCTTCCAATAGAAAAAGAAAATTCAAGAGTTGCTACAACTAAACCATTAGATGAACTTTTTACTAATGTCGGTCAAAAGTTTGAGACAGAGACCGTAAAGCATGAAGGCTATCGTTTTGACTACCCATTAAGATGGCTAAGAGACCCATCTGTCACAAAAGCTATTGGCTTTCGTAGAATGAAGTTTGTGTCTGTAGAAGATAAAAGTTTTCCATTTATTGTAAGGTTTCATATAGATTATATATCTGAAGGGAAACGAAAAATGTGGGAAGAAATTGAGCTAATACAAGTTGACCTTTCATCTTCTCTACAGACTGCGTTAAAAAATATAGAAGATAAAATAAATTCATGTTATGCAAAATATGCTGATGAATATGCAAATACCGAGAGCACACTTTATGTGAGAATTGTATATGACAAATAAAATTCACAAGTGTCATTTCAAATCTACGAAGACAATCCAAAGAAAGACGAACAAATATATACAGAATTCACTGCAATGTCATGGTATTATTTGCAAAGAATGTTAAATCAGAAAGTCAAACTTCCTTTAGCAAATATTTACAGTCGATATGCAAGAGATGAACCATATTTATTTAAAGATGTTTTCGACTCAGATGCTATTATAGTTCATGCTTCATTTTCTGGTGCGCAAAACTCTTTTTTATGCTTGGCAAATGACTTTTACGAAAAACCTACAAAGTTATACGAACCACCAAGTGGAAGTATTTCAGACTTTCAAGTATGGTTTACTACAGATGGAAGAAAAAGAATAATTCCATTATACCATGCGTTTTACTTAGAACTTAGTTTCATATACAACTACTATCGAACGATAAAAATATAATTTTTTAATACGGTTGAGGTGTTGGATTTGGTTGCCAACTAGACTGTGGTGCAGGTTCAGGCTGTTGTATAACAGGAGCTTGTTCTTCTGGTTCAGGGTCTTTAGGTATAATACCAACAAACTGACCTACTCTTTTACCAATATTTTTGACTCCGTTCCAAATTCCTTTTCCGACAGATTTTATTCCATTCCATATACCTCTTCCAACATTTCGAAAGAAGTTTCCAATACTACTGAAGAAACCCATTTTACTATATGTAAAAATCTAATGTCCGCCTAGTCTCTTACGTTTCCTGTTGAGTTCCATAGCATTCTTTAACTGGAGCTCATACATTCTGTTTCTCCTCTGGTAGAAAACATATTCTGGGTCAACTCCTGTGTTCGCGTCATCTGCATAAAGTTGTTTATATCCCACTTCAGGGTTTGTATAAAACTCTTTCCATCTCATATTTGCATACCATGGTGGCAAACCTAACGCAGCGTCATTTGACATGGCAGTTTGCATTTGTACATCTGTTGGCACTTGACCATAGTTTGCCATTGCAGTTTGTATTCTAACTTCATTTGGAATATTCTCTGGGTTTGGTTGTCCAGGTTGCTGTGCATTCGCTAAGTTCTGTGCGTCCATTTAATATTAGATAAAAATATCTCTTACGAGTACATATGCTGAACATTTGCAGGCATTGGTTCATCTTCATATTCTCTGTACTTTTCTGCCACGTCAAATAAATAAATGACACAATGGAAAAAACCTAAAACAAGTAGTCCTATTTCAAACCACATTTACTTACTAATAAAATTTCTTTGTTATGACACTTTCTCCAGTTTATAGGACCTCTCTCATATTCTATCTTGTCATATATAAACTCATAGTCATGTATGTCCTCTAACCATCTCATAACGGTTTCCAAACCACTTTTATCGGATGTAAAGTAAAAGCATGGATGGTTATGTAAAACGTCTAAAGTTTCTAAAGAGTCTCTCAAAGTCCAGTCTACTTGGTATTGAAAATCCCATGTGTTATAGAACGGTGGGTCCACCATAAAGAAAACATTTTCCTTGTCTTTATATTTTTCATACAACTCTGTCCAATGACATCTCACAAACTCTATACCCTCAATATATTTTTCTATGTCCTCTTTGAAAACATTTGTATAGTTGAGATATAAAACTTTTGACATAAGTGTTTCAATGTCATGAACTCTTATAGCACCACTATATAATAGTCTAGCAGATATACTATCCCAGTCTATATATTCTGCTTTTTTCAAAACCTCTCTCACAATATTTTTCTTATCTAATGGTATACGTTCCATCTTACCTATAGGTATCTTTTCTTTTAACTCTTTCAATATTTTGTTAGTGTCTGGAATATGTTTGAGACGGTTCATATAGTTGTCGAAGTCATTGCATATAATCTTTGAGTCAGGAAATACGGTATGACATAAATGGGATATATAGAAACTTCCACCGAACAAATCTACAAATGTTAGACCATTCGGTAGTTTCTTAAGTTCTCTCAATATAATATCTTTACATTTACTCTTATTTCCAAAGAACGGTAACGGAGGTTTTGTAAAATTCATTTATATATAATAATAAAAATGTTTTTTCCTGAAAAGTGACAGAAAAGTGACAAAACATGTACGAAGAAGTCTTGAAAATTCAAGAGGGTAGAAAAGAGGTTAGAAAAGAGGTTATATCTAACCTTCTACCCTAAACATTATTTTTGTCTGATTTTACGAAGAAGTCTTGACAAAACATGAAAACATATATAATTTGTGAAAAGCTCCTGGAAGACCCGTATATAAGAACTTCATTTATACTAAACATCTTCAGGGCTAGAAGGGGCGCAGCCCCTGGAAGCCCCAATACCTTTTTTTTTTTTTTTTTTTTTTTTTTTTGAATGCCATAAAACATTGATAAATATGAAAAGAAATGGAATTTGATAAAACAATAATAAACATGAAATGAAAGAGAATTCTATAAACCAATGATAAATATGAAATGAAAGAGAATTCTATAAAACATTGATAAATATGAAATGAAAGAGAATGCCATAAAACATTGATAAATATGAAAAGAAATGGAATTTGATAAAACAATAATAAACATGAAATGAAAGAGAATTCTATAAACCAATGATAAATATGAAATGAAAGAGAATTCTATAAAACAATGATTAATATGAAATGAAAGAGGATTTCATAAAACAATGATAAATATGAAAAGAAAGAAGATTTCATAAAACAATGATAAATATGAAAAGAAAGAAGATTTCATAAAATAATGATAAATATGAAAAGAAAGAGAATGAAATAAAACAATAATAAATATGAAATGAAAAAGAATTCTATAAAACGATAATAAATATGAAAAGAAAGATAATGATCTAAAACAATGATAAATATTGAAAGAAAGAGAATAAGTTTCATGTTAACATCTGCGCCAAGCTCAACTAGGAATTGGACGATTTCTATTGAGTTCGCTTTGATTGCAATACTAAGAGGGCATTCATTAACATCGAGAGAATTTCATAAAACAATGATAAATATGATGAGAAAGAGAATTTTATAAAGCGATGATAAATATGAGATGAAAGAGGATTTCATAAAACAATGATAAATATGAAAAGAAAGAGAATGTTATAAAACAATAATAAATATGAAATGAAAGAGAATGTAATAAAATAATGATAAATATGAAAAGAAAGAGAATGAAATAAAACAATAATAAATATGAAATGAAAAAGAATTCTATAAAACGATAATAAATATGAAAAGAAAGATAATGATCTAAAACAATGATAAATATTGAAAGAAAGAGAATAAGTTTCATGTTAACATCTGCGCCAAGCTCAACTAGGAATTGGACGATTTCTATTGAGTTCGCTTTGATTGCAATACTAAGAGGGCATTCATTAACATCGAGAGAATTTCATAAAACAATGATAAATATGATGAGAAAGAGAATTTTATAAAGCGATGATAAATATGAGATGAAAGAGGATTTCATAAAACAATGATAAATATGAAAAGAAAGAGAATGTTATAAAACAATAATAAATATGAAATGAAAGAGAATGTAATAAAATAATGATAAATATGATGAGAAAGAGAATTTTATAAAGCGATGATAAATATGAGATGAAAGAGGATTTCATAAAACAATGATAAATATGAAAAGAAAGAGAATGTCATAAAACAATGATTAATATGAAAATAAAGAGAATGTAATAAAATAATGATGAATATGAAAAGAAAGAGAATGTAATAAAATAATGATAAATATGAAAAGAAAGAGAATGTTATAAAATAATGATAAATATGAAAAGAAAGAGAATGAAATAAAATAGTGATAAATATGAAAAGAAAGAGAATGTTATAAAACAATAATAAATATGAAATGAAAGAGAATTATATGAAATGAAAGAAAATTATATAAAACAATGATAAATATGAAAAGAAAGAGAATGTAATAAAAAAATTATAAATATGAAAAGAAAGAGATGATAAATTTTATTGATATCTTCTCCATTAGAAAGTAAATAAGATGCAATATCGTAATTTCCGAAATGCATACTTTCTGCTATTGAATCAGGAGTTTGTCCAAAATTTGATTTAAGATACTCTGCAATTTCATAGTTTCGATAATCCAGTGCTAAATTAATCATTTTTTTAAATGATTTACCATCTTCTATCATTTGCATAAAAATGTTTTCATTTCCACCTTGAACAGCATATCTTTCGGAGTAATCAGTGTATTGAGCTCCTAAATTTTTCAAGTAAATGAAACATAATTCTGATCCATATTTAATTGCACAGTCAAGTGGTGTGATATCATTAATCTTCTGATTAATATCTAGATTTGGGAATTTAATCTTAAGATCATTAACTTTATCCCATGCAATATAGTATAAAGGAGATTCTGTTGAATATAAATTCAGAATTTCTTCTTCTTTCATTTTGGGTTCGAAGTTTTGGAATTTGAAACCTTGATAATGTAGCAGCGTCGTTAATCTCTTATTTTTCGGTTCATATATGCATGAAAATGCGTTTGATATCTTTTGATAAAGTTCTGAAAATAATTTAATTTTTTTAACACGAATTTGTGAAATAATATCAATCAGATAAAGCGTTATTTGGATAGACATTTTGTGAGTTGTTATTAATTCGATAATTTGTGAAGATATTTGTATAATATTATTGGAATTGACGTCATATATGATTTTTGATGCTTGATCTGGGTATTCGAATACTTTAATTAGCTTATGGTCACTGTAATTACCCCAATTCTCATGTTTTGGCTGCTCTGAACTTGACATACTATGAAAAAATTTTGTCTGTGACACTTTTCCACTGTTCAAATAGCCTATTTTTGATAAGAATATTTTTGAAATTTTTATTTTATCGATAAAATATCGAAATTGGGAAATACAATAGCATCGAATTTTCAAATTTAAGGTCTCAGTAAGCTCCAATTTTAAGGAAACGGATACTTTGAAATTTAAGGGTGCCCTATAACGATAATGTAAACATCACAAAATTAACCTTATTAGAACTCGAATGAATGGATTATCCAGATTCTAGTTCTCAATATAATAGCCTTAAAAGTGCTTTTCTGAGGGTGGTCTATCGTCTATAGGGCACCCTTAAGAAATAAATACAAAAAAAAATTAAAGTTCCGGATTCGGCCAAACGATTGCTATCGTTAAAGTCCGAAAATAACATTGCCCAAATCTAATCATAGATCCTAAGTTTAAAAGAAGTTTATTTTGAAATTTACCAACAATAACTTTTGAAGGCTACACGAACGCCCATCTGACTTTAATTCAAATTTTTGACAACTGGCGTGAAGCGACATTGAAAATTAACCTTAACCATCTGAATTGAAAGCCCTATGGGTGTAAGTACACCCTTTACGTTCATTGAAAGAGAAAAAAAATCTTCGGTTTAATGCATCAGAAATGCAAATATCGCAAAACAAATGTAACAATAAAAAAATATTAATGGCAATGGATTTTATTGATATTAAGGATACCCTTACATGTCAGATTTTTTGCGCATACGAAGAAGTCATGCTAGACATGAGCTATAAACCTGAAATTTTAGCAACATATTTAAAACTTTTTAAACTACAATACACTTTAATATTCAAGAACAAAAATATTCTTTTTAGAAATTACATAATTATTTTATGTGAAATCTATATAAAAACATATTTTGCGAGCGTAACTTTTTTCTTTATAAGCACCTTATATGACTGATAAACTGTGAAGGCACATAATTGTTAATTCATAGAGTTGATATGTTTCCAAAATTGAGAGGAAATTTGAAAATTGAATACCCTTTCAATTCAATTTTCAAAAGATATCAGCTCCTTCAATAATTGAAGGACGATTTTGATCATTTGCTCTTAAAACAAGTATGCCATGGAGAAAAAAGTTACGCTCGCAAATCTGAAATATAACTATCATATAAAAAAATTAAATTTCTAATTTTTTACTCTATAGATATTATTGGCCATTTGTGTAATGCATAAAAGTTTATGTCATATGCATACATTTGGAAGTATGGGAGACGAGGGAAATTACTTCTATGAGGCACTAGGATTTTTAAAAATTTCTCTATCGGACTCACCATTCAATTTCTCGAAAATTAAAAAAAATCAATAATAGCTAAAATGTATTATGCATAACAAATTTTAATGTTACACGGTATTTTTTGAACTTCATGACATGAATTTTCTTTATATTATTTTTTTTGGATTTTCTATGATTTATGCGATAGGCTGGAACAACATTGTAAGTGCAATGATATCATTTATAGAGAAATCTAAAACTTCAGCATTCAGAACTCGCAACCACAAAAATATTCATTTGCTAAGTAAGTAAAGTTGATTAAGTTCGACACTTAGCTTTTATACGTAAAACCAAGTGTGTATTGTTATTTCTTGTTAAATTATTGAGAAAAAAATAAATTGTAAGAGAAACGATACTGATTATTGAAATAATATTGAGGGTAGCTGCAGATTTCTTCATTAACATGCCGGAAATTTGTTAATCTTGGTTTTCTATCATAAAATCTGTCGAAGAATCTAAAAACGGAGATATAAAATAGAGATCATGTAAATCTAGAGTATCCTGTCAGAAAAATAGACTAAGCATGTAACCCTTTTTTGGTCATAAACACTTTTTACCACTTAGTCATACAGATGATCATTAAATTTAAACGAGCACTTTTTGTCAGAATTTATTCTTTTACAAAGACAGAAGATTTTAGTATTATTTAATATTAGTGCTGTAGCAAAATTCAAAAAATGGTGAAAATTCAGTGAATTTGTGAATTCACATTTTTTTTCGACATTTTTCTTGATATATCCATGCACATTAAGAACACAGCTTTGATACACTTAAAAAAGCATATTTCATATGAAATTGTTAAAGAAATAAACAATTTATATATAAAAATTGCACTTATGGGCAGTTTAGATATATAATTTATATATAACATATATACAAATCCATAGACAAAGTGCAATAACTACAATGTTGTAGAAAATTACAGCAGAAATACTGACTTTTTGAAGGATAATAAGAATTCTTCTAAATGTTGTATTTTTATAATTTGATTGATTTTTTTTACTATTTCATTAATCTTTTATGAATAATAATTATTTTTAATATATGTGCTATTAAAATTTCAAATTTTGACTAATATATCTAAGTTATCTGAACGAAACATTTAGAAAATATCATACTTACATTGAAATAGCAAGTAGAGCATATTAATAGCAAGTTTCTTGGCTTTATATCTATCATCTATTGTTGTTTGATCAAACAAAATTCACTCTATTATATGGTGTCAATTAATTAAAACAATTTTTAATAGTTATTTATTTAGTGCGAATAAGTGCAAACTCATAAATGAATAACTTAATAGTAGAAATGAATTATCTGATATAAATCTCACATTTTGTCCATCAGAAATACTTTAATTGCATACGCATAACTATTAGTAATACGTCTGGAGTGTCAATTAATAACAATCCCACAACAAGTAAAATTCAGATTTTTATTAAACTTATTTTTTCCTAAAAGTTTTCTCAAATTACTATATATACATATGTGGATAAAATAATAGTAATATTGTAAAAAATTAGATAATTTTTTTTATTTGAGAACCTCTCAAAAGTTCATTCAATTTATCAATTGTTTCAGTTTGATGTATATTCATTTCTGGAGCCTAAAACTTTAGCAATCATGACAATATCATATTCTCTTTCTAACTACGCAATGTAAGGGTATCCTTAACTGATTTAATGGAACGCAGGGGCTCTCCGGTGGAGCTATTGTCACCAATTGGCGCAATATATTTTCCCTCCATTGTTCCATGTATAATATAATGACAGAAATAAATCCGAATAAAATAATCAATATTTATCAATAAACTTATATTATTTTTAACATAAGGTCAGAAATGTACCATCATAAGGCTTAATGCATTCAAGAAAAGAATGAGATAAAAATCAAATTGAATTATCAATGAAATTTAAAAATAAATAAAAAAAAATCATTAATGAAAAAAATACAACATTTACAAATGAATAAAAACATTATTATTAATCAAACAGAAGAAACATTCTTAGATTTAATTGGAGCTCTGTAAATTGCAGCTTCAAATGTGAGTTTTCCTACTTGTTTGTTCTGAGTATTCCATAGAGGAACAGTCTGTGTCATCTCTTTGTTTCCATCTAAGAACGGAAGCATGTTGACTTCTGTTCTCGCGGCTTCTGTCAACATATCTTCTCTCTGACGACAAATAATGACAGAAGCTGATGTCCTTTCGAGGTATTCTGCAAGGAAGAAGTCATTCTTGCAAACAAAGATCATTCTTGAGTTGAAAACTCCTGATGTTATGTCAACTGGCTGAGATTCTGTGGATTGATGCTCCAAAAGCTCAACATTGAGGAATACTTTGGATGGTTTCTTTCCTATGAAGCTGTGTTCGAAAGAAAACGTCTTGAAGTAGATAATAATTGCGGTTTGATCTTGGCCGATCTGGAAAATGTCCTGTTTAGTGAATTTGATGCTTGGAGCACCTTTAATGAACTCTGGCATTGCATGAACTTGGTCTGTTGGCAACTTTTCGTATTCATTTGCAATATCAGTGAGAGAATTCTCGAGTTTGGAGATGTTTTCACGTTTAATATCACTCTCATGCTGTAGTTGTTGATCTTTGTTCTGTAATTCTTCGATTTCTTGTTGAATATCTCGGATTTGTTGCTCAAGTTCTGTTTTTTCTTTGTTTTTATCAACAACGTCTTGTGGAGATAGGGCGTAACTCTCCATTTGTGCAATAAAGTTATTAAACTTCATGTTGGTCGAAGGATCTTCATTTAATTGTTCTTTGAGTTTATCTAGCTCTGCTGTGATTTCTTCTTCCTTTGATGACTTCTTTGGTGATGTAGCTTCGAGTTCATGGATCTTTTGTTCAAGATTTGCGTTTGATTCTTCTAATCTGGCTGAATCATTTTGGAGATCGGCAATTTCTCGCTTGAGCTGATCTTTGGCAGCTTGTTCCTTAGCCTTGTTAAGTCTTTCTATTCTTGCTTCATTATCTAGGCCAGAAGCGTCAATTTCTGACTGAAGTTGGGCATTTTGAGATTCTAGGTCTTGCGCCTTCTGTAATTCTTGTTTCTTTTGTTCTAATTTCTTGTAATAATCGTTATATTCTCTTTGCGCTTGAGTGTTTTGGTCTGCTTGAGATTGATATCCATGAACAACATCATCTCTGTGCATTTCGAGCTTTTCATACTGTTTCCTTAATGTATCTAAGTCAGCTGTTAACTGATCTGATTGCTGTCTGTACTTATTCAAATTCATTCTTCTTTGAATTACTTCTCCGAAGCCAATTTGTTCTTTATCTGCATCCATTTGATCATTCAATTCTTCTGGAGTTGCTTTTCCATGTAATACAAGTAATGCAAAGTCAATATTTGGATCATGATGTTTAGAATTGTAATCATTTAACTGTTTAATCACATCAGTTCTCGATTTTGAACGTGCACTGCTACCTTTAAAGTTTGCTGCAACTGGTTGTTTAACTCTTGTCGCTGTAGCACCAGTTAATGCTTTAAAACTTCTGACTTGACGAAGTAAATTGTTTCGACGTCTTTGTTTTCGTGCAAGTTCTGCTTCAAGTTGCTTGATTTTTAACTGTAATTCCTTTACTTGGTCATCAGGGCCAATCTCTGATTTGGCTGTAACTAAAGCTTTAGCTTTTCTTTCAAGTGATTCACAATTCTTTAAAAACTCTTCTTTGAGATCATCAAGTGAAAGTTCTCCAGCTGTCCTTGCTTTTGGTGACAGCATTTTTATGCTAAAATTTAGAAACGGTTTTCAATTTTTTTTTTACAAAAAAAAAATATCAACGAAAACAAAGAGCAGTAAAGGTGTATTACCTGGTCCAATTGGACTACCTATTAAATGTCTACTTATATCTCCATTCATTGCTTGAATGATAAAGAAGAATACATTATAAAGCTTGATAAGTTATAATAATTTGTTATTGTTTGTATTAGTTCATTCTAATGAATGTATACTAGTTTTATTCCTCTTAACAATGCTATGTTTTGAGAAGATTAAGGATATTTCAGATTTACAACAACAAATATTTGTGGTTGAATTATATAAGATAAAATTGATATGGTAAGTATCTATAGATAAGAAAAATTAAGATATTATATAACTAATTCTATTATATTTATTCATGTGCTAAAATTAAAACAATATACTTTATATAATTAATAAATCCCGCAAACATATACTCATATGAAACCAATCTAATGTAATTTGCACTTCATAATGCATTAAAATGCTTATAATACTAAAATTGATGAAAAATTATTAAAATTAACTTTGTCAATGAGCTTCGATAAGATCATATTGAGGATTATGGCATAAATAGTTAAGGTGGATTTCTGTCAGCCTCTTGGTATGATATTTAAGAGATTCTATTGATTTTGGAGCTAATTGTTTAGAAAAGTTGTATAATGTGAATGTAAATGTGCCAATGCAAGAGTTACTTATTGTTTCGCTAACAATGTTCCATGCATTTTGTTCTGCTTTTTCTATTTCTATTTTTGTTTTTTCTTCGTTATCTTCCATTGTATTACATCTAAAGTTTCGCCATAATATGTATTCGTTACGTAATTTTTCAATGACTGCGTCATATATAGGCATTATAGAAACGTGTAAATCAACAAAATCTATTTCTGCTTGATGTATATCTGTTTCAGCTTCCTCATCAGGATGTAGATCCTTAAGATGCTTGACTAATTCAAAAATTTCATGTTGATAATTCAAAGAATCATGCCAATATGTTGAAATTAGTTTTACTTCATACATCACGCGTTTAAATGGCTTATTTAATGAATCAATGTCCATAATTGTGAGAAATTCCTTATCAAAGTCCTTCAGAAGATTGGATAGTTCTTCTAAAGTTTTCTCCATATTGTCAGTTTTTTCAATGAAAAATGTCAAAAACAAATTCAAAAGAATTTTACCGCAAAGGAAACATATATAAAATGACGAATAATTTGCATATATAGATTGAGTATCCCCAACATCTGAGTTTTATAGTTCATTTTACAAAAATCTTCAAGGAAATTTTGAAGATTTAGACAAATCTAATTAAAATTACTTAAATTTGTTAAAAAATATTTTGAGTTATTTATAATAAAGAAAAGTATTTGACATTTATTAAGAAAATCGGCATTATAAAAAATAAAAATAAAAATTTCATGTATAAATCTATTTTCCAGCTGCATTATCAAGCTGCATAACGAGCCAATCAACAGCTTCCTCTAATCCTTGTCCAGTTAAGGAGCAAGCTGGTAATATAGTCCAATGTTGGTTTTTGATTTCAGAAAGCTGTAGAGTTTCCATGAGCTCACTGAGAGTCAAGCAATTTGGTAAGTCTTGTTTGTTAGCTAAAATTAATATGCTGCATTTGCTTGTAGAATCGTCTTCGAGAACTCTAAATAGTTCGTTTCTGGCCTCTGTCATACGCACTCTATCGCTTGAGTCAACTACGAATATAATTGCGTCTGTTCCGTTGAAAAATGTAGTCCAACCTTTTCTAAAAGCTGTTTGGCCGGCTAAATCCCAGCACTGTAGTCTGACATTCTTTCGTTCAATAGTTTCTACATTTGATCCGACTGTTGGTTGAGTATTTATAACAACTCCGTCGAGAAGCTTATATAACGCTGTTGTTTTGCCAGCATTATCAAGTCCGATAATTGTAATTTTGAAACGGCGCTGAGGATTTCCAAAAGCAAATCTCCAGAGGCCAGAAAGAAGACCTCCCATTAAATTGAATAGAAAACAATCGGAGAAATTTTCACTTTTATCGTTTTGAACTCAATTCTAAAATAGTCGCATACTTATGTTCGATCTCATGACATTTTCTCTTAATATGTAATAATTTAGCTTTTTCTGATTTCATTCCCAGAAAAAGGTACATTCACTATTTTTGACAAAATTTTAAATTTTCATGGGGTTGTAAATCTTATAATAACTAGATGAATAAGGAATGAATCCCAGTATAATGTGCATCATTATATTAAACACTATATGTAAGGCTAATGATTCTATTAACACTTATGAAGATCTATAGTATTTGAGCAGATAAATTTGATAATTTCCAAAACTCTTATATTTCAAAATTAAAGTGTGCGAATGCATTTAAATGAGAGCAAAAAGAGATTGATGCTGTTAAAACTAGGGGTGAATTTGCAATTATTTCGCATCACAAGAACTACCCAGTAAATTCGGCTATCTTTCTTTGCAATTATTCTCCATTATACATATAATATAATGGTTAGGGTTTGAAGAAAAGTTACTAGAGAATTATTGACTTTTGAAATAATGCAGAATTTTACTTGAAGAAATCATTAATTTATGAGTTCCAAATTGCTAAGCATGACGAAGGATCATTAAATTTGCTACAATTAAATACACTTATTGCAGAATTAAGATTTTTGAAATTAAAAGTTTGAAATATTGCCTTTTTGAATAAAAATTTAAATTTTATTATATAATCATGATAATATCTTATAGAAATTAAAAGAAAATATTTTAAACCATTCAAATATTTTGAATGTCTTATCAATTTAAAATATTAAAAGATAGCTTGATTTTATCATCATTAGTTGTTATCAAAGTTTTCTTCTTTTGATGAACAACAGTAAATGATTTGTTAATTACTTGTCTTCCTTTTTCGCAGCAAAATCGAAAGTTATGATGATAATCTTGCTCTCAATTTTGAAACTCTCTGATTTACAAGTAAGCATTCCTTTGGAAAAGCAGTCCTATTCTGTTTTCAAGATATTTTAAAGCCTCCATTTCATACAATGCGCAGATCTATTCGAAATTGCAAGAACTCTCAAGAAAAATGCAGCAGCAAAGAAGATTCCATAGTTTCTAGCATCAAAAATTTACAACCTTAATACAACAGTTAAAGAGAAGCTCGAAAAGAAAATATTTAACCATAAAGCTGGAAACCATTCGATATCTACTATTGGATCTAATAAAAAGTTAATTATAACATATTTAACATGCTATTTGTTGACTTTGTTCCATTATATTACCATATATATCTTTTTGAAATCTAAAATATTTTTACGATTTTAACCATGTGTTGTTGAAACCATATATCAATCTTAGCTAAAGTATAGTTTATGAGTCTGTCACCATCTAACGTATGAATTTTCAAAAATGTCAAATATGTTCATTTTTTCTGTAGATTCAGCCATAATTTCACATTGTTATACTATTCAACTATTATTTAATATTTTTATCGATTTAAATATATGATGAGATGCTTAGTTCTCCTGGAAATCGATTTTTAATCGCAATTTTAACTTTCCAAAAAAAATTCAAAAATAAAAATCCCTCTCAATTTTCTAAGTTTTATAACTCGCCAAATCTCTAGCCAAATTTTTTTTGGCCCGTATAAATATTGTTAGGCACTATATAGGGATGCTATTTATCCTATTTTCATCCCATTTTACTGTTATCGCCTAGTGAATGTACCTTTTCCCAGAAACTGAAGTCATTTTAAACAAATTCTTTAAATTTGATTTCAAGTAATTGAAATTTCTCTTGTCCAATGTAATTTCAATATAAGGTCACTCCATAATAATAGTTAAATATGAAAGCTTCAAATAATATGTTTCAACTCTTAGCTGCATAAAAAAGAGGTGTCAATCCATTATCATCTAATTGATTGAATAATCATATGTTTAGTAAACAAAAACTAATATTGAAATTAGTTTATCAAATATAATGAAATACCAAAGAATCGATTATTAAAACGAAATTTTATAATAAATAACAAACAAATAAAAAAATAAATTATAGATAAGGCTGCCAACCTTGGTAATGTCTACAATATCTACTTCTATCCGTTGCTGCTTTTATTAAATTAGCTACATGTTGTGGAACTTCCATTTCTTTTGTTTCGTCTCCTCCATATTCTGAATCAGTTCCTAAAATCTTCTGCGAAACTCTTGTTAAAATAGAATGATGATTTTTGAACTGAGATTTCGATGAAAAGATTGGTTCATGAACAAAAACTTCGAGCATTGCAATAACAGGAGAAACATTTTCTCTCATTAAATACATATAGTCTTCGCATGCAATTCTAAATATTCCATCAACATTTCCTCCTTCCAAAGCATTCTGGAAAAGTCGAGTCATTCTAAATGGAACTTTTTCTGGGAACAAAATTCTATTTGATGCAGATTCGAAGCATTCTCCGAAATCTATGTGAATAACTGTACCTGTATGTTGTTGAACCATTATATTCCTAAGGTGTCTGTCACCTAATCCAATGATATAACCTTCAACACTCATCAAAGCAGTCGAAAGAGTGAAATTCCTCGTTATTTGTACCCATGTACTTGGAAAATCAGACCAAACCCAAAAAGATTCTCTTAATTCATCAGCATTCGTTTTGCGGCATATCTCATCATGTATCTCTAATAACTGCAATCCATTCAATGTATTATTCCTTAATGATGTATATTCATGAAAAACTGTTTTTTCTATTGAATTTTGACGGTTTTTTAATGTTCTAAAATCATTTACGATTTGAAGAACTGTATCAGCTCCATTTACCCAAGAAATCAAACCTGTATTCGGTGCAAAAGGTACTACATCATACATAGATATATTTACATTATGAGCTCTTGTTGATCTATTTGTTTTTATCAAAGAATTTACCAAAGAAAACAACTGCATAATTCTTTGATCTAATCTCAAATCTTCATTTCCTTTCAATAAGAATTTATGACGATTTCCTTGATTATCAACAACAATTAGCAGCCTTGGATGTGTTAGAGTATTAAACAACTCTAATCTCTCTTCGATATGATACAAATACAGCAAATTCTTCTGTATTTTGTATGTTCCTGGAACAGAAATCAAAAAATTGAATTTTTCTGCCAATTCTTCAGAAATTTTTGACAAATAAATTGCATCAATTTCATTCATCTTCATTTGTATGTCTTTCATTAAGTTTTGGAGCATCTCCCATAAAGGATTCATATATGACTTGTCTCCTTTCATCAATTGCTGGTAAAACAACTGACTTCTCTCTATCAATTTCTTATGAAAATTTTTGAGAGATTTGTCAAATTCACACAATTCATCATTTGACTCATTAAACATGTTTCCGATGTTTTTTAGAATCTCGTCGATGTTTTTGATAGAACTTAAACTATTTAAAGAGTTAATCCATCGCTCGCACCAGCAAACAGCTGATTTAATCATTCCGTCAATGAATAAACTGAAATCTTTGTATTGAAGTGAATGAGGGAAAGAAAGTTTTGTCATCACTTCAGACGCAATCAAAGATTTTTCGTTGCTTTTGTCTTTGGAAATGACGGAAAGAGGATAAACAACTGCTTCGAAGTTATTCTGGGAAAATTTCGTAATTATCTCTTCAACAATTGATCTAACGATTGTAGAAGAGTTTGTTACGTGTACAATGATCTGTGGAATGATTTTGAAGACCATTGATGAATCTAAAGAAAGTAATTCGTTTTTGATTTCATCAGGTAAAGGAAAAGACTCAAAATACTGGACAAATATGGAGAATACTTGGCATAAGTATTGTAATGATGAACTTGGATTAAGTTTGGAGGCTTTTAAGAAGCCTTTTATCGCAATTATTGCGTAATTCTGTCGAATTTCGTTAGTTTCGTGAGAAAGGAACCTTGAACACGAATAAGCTAATCCTGCCCAGCTCAAATAGTCTTTCTCATTCAAACTAACGCATTTTTCGAACAAATCAATCACTTCTTTCAAATTTATCTCATTAGAATTAGATTTATACAGATTATATCTCCAATTCGCAGATAATCTCAATACTTTACACCTAAAAATGTCATCAATATCCCAATTCTTCAGAAAATTTTGGTAATTTTGAATTGAGAAGTTTTGTAAAGTTTGTAAATTTTTTGGTAAATTTTGTAAATTATTTTGTAAAGTTTGTAAAGTTTGGTAATTTTGCAAATTTTGAGAAGTTTTTTGATTTGAAAAGTTCAAAAGGAACTGGATTTGGAGATTTTCATCATCAAGTTCTTCGTTTATGCTTTGTAAGAACTCTTCTTGAGATTTTAATGACAAAATCTTTGAAAAATGGTCGATTTGTTTTAGAGATTTCGTTTTTTCTCCTTTCAACCAGTTGATTTTGATTCTTTCGAGTATAATTATAGGGAAATTATACACAGATTCCAATCTCCTCAAATAAGAATCGATCATTCTCCATTTTCTCTCTTTTCTCAGCACAGAAATCATTTTTCTGCAACTTTCTACATTATCTTCTGGTCTTAAAACGAGTAATCTGATATCTATCAGCTTCTTCCATGCATCACTATCTTCTGTGTAATTCTCCAATCTGTTACTCCATATTTTCGGAACTTTTTGTGACTTTTTTTCTTTGAATAAAATACATTCATATAATTCAACAAAATGTTGACTGGCAATTAAATATTTATGTGCCATATTTATGTCAGTACCATTATAAATAGACTTGTCTTTGATCAATGTCCGAAATCCTCTTTCTATCGTCATTTCGGCGGTTTTGTAATCTTCACAAGAAATGTAAAAAAGTGACAAAATAATGATCGATAAAATATCATCGTTTTTATCGACGTATTCTATGTATTTCTTGCTTATTTCGATATCCTTTGAATGGAGATATGCGTAAGCAAACCATTTGCTCCTTGCAACTTTCTCTTCTCTCGTCATTTTTTCGAAAGAAATGTTTAATTGTCGGACTTTCTCCCATTGTTCGAGGTTTGCATAGCATCTGACTAATGAATCTGTCTTGGGAGTATTGGATTTCAGGTGAACATTAAGAGCTTTCTCCCATTCGCCGAGTTTTTCAAGCCATTTCCCTGATTCGTTGATTTGATGCTTGTTTAGAAGGGATCTGGCTGTTTCTATTCGTCCTATCCTTGTATTAAATGATAAAAGACGCTCAATATTGGTCATTGTTGCTTGTTTTCTGTTAGAAATCAGTGATCTTTCGATTTGATACAGACTTAAAGCAGCGGAATTGGATGCAGTTGACAGAATTGAGTCTGGAATAAGGAATGGCATCCCATATCTGTCTAAAACTGTAACCAATTGTGATAAAGTTTTTCCGATATTGGAAGAATCGAATTTTATCAATGATTGTTCAATGATTTCACTGAATTTCTTACGACTTTCTAATGGTTCGTTGATCCAACAAGTCAGAAAAGCAACGGGAAACAGGTCATGTTGAAAATCTTTGTATTGATTAAGGAGGAAAGAGCAAGTTCTGATGGAAACGTTCGGAGAATTGGTTATTGCTGGATATTCCATCTCGTTTAGCCACTTTTCCATTTGATTATAATAAGGAGTTTTGAGATTTTCAAAGATATTGACTTTGATATCTGGTGAAGTGATGATGTTTGATTTTATTCGACTTACTTTTATATGTGGTTCGAAGTTTTGTACGAATAAAACCTGTTCTATGATTGGATGACTTAATTCAACCAATTTTTTGACATCGATAAGGTGAGGAATGGTCACTCCGCAATTTAAAGCTTCCTTTTCAACATATTCTATATCCAAATCCGCAAACAGACATAAATTCAAAATTAATTGCAAAACTTCTTGGGCTTGTGAATGTTTGAGTTGTCTGAATGCTATATTTGCAATTTGTACACCGCAATTATGCATTGTATAATGCTGTATTATCATTGTTAAATATTTAATTGCGGGTTTCGTTCTCTGTTTGGTAGAAGGGTTTGTTTGTGAGAAGAAGTTCTTTGTTATTGATGAAACCAAAGCTTGGATGGATTGTCTTTGGAATAATGTGCAGAATGTGGCAAATTTCAATAATTTTTTAATGATTTCAATGTTTTGGTTATTTAGTTGAGCCAAAACCGAAGGAAATAGTGATGAGCAGAAGTTAACAGAGCCAGATCTCAACTGGAAACTGATTGTTATGCATAAATTCAAACAATCTATTTCAAGAAGGTGTTTCTTGCAGATTTCTATGAATTGGTCAATGTAAGGAGCAGTATTCCATCCACAGGAGTATACAACGATCTCTAACTGTTGGAATAAATTGTGAGAATCTAAATCTGCCTCTAAAGCACTCCGAAATTCACTTAAAATAGTTTCTAAGTATTTCATTAAGTAGTTTGTGCTATTTGCCAAAATACTCGTAATGGCCTGAAAAACTGACAAAGACTGTGACTTCGATAAAAGTGACACCAATGAATTCAAAGTGAAATCGGCAAAGAAAGAAGGGTGAGTCATATGGAGTTGGCTACTTGGCTGCTGCTTTCCGAGGAAGTTTTGCATTGGTATAGTGTCTGGAGTACCTATTGTTCCAATAACTTTTAAGATTAAAGTTGCAACTTCGTCATTATTCGAAGAAGCAATGAGATTAAGGAGAGAAGGAAGCAGATCTGGGAATAATGTTGTGAATTTGAACTTGCATTCCATTGAAATTGTCATGGATTTCAGACATTTTAAGGCTGAAATGTAAAGTGAAGGGGAATGCGATGAATTGAAATATTTCTGGAATATTGGATATATCTGTAGTATAAATGGAACTGCAAAATCTGATAAAACAGATAAAGTGTCAAATAATGAAGTATTTCGACTGTCAATTCGCTTTCCGTGAGTAATAATGAACGCCTGATGCCAGTAAGTACCTTTGTCAAGGATATCTGTGCAAAAAGAAGCATCTGGGATCTGATATTTGTTTAAATCATCAGGATTGAACAATTTTGTGTCCAAATCATGCTCAATCTGTGTGAAATCGGCTATTTTTGTGTTACCAAGGAGAATTGAAGTGCACAACCATATTATTTTTGGAGCAATCGGAGAACAAATGGATTTGAAGTTAGATACTAAGTGTGGAAGCTGTTTGCAAGCTTTTGCAAGCTTCTGGAAATCCAATAATGGCATGTAAGTTGTAATATAATTATTAATAAAATTAAAGATTTCTGATTCGAAAAGAATCGGGTTATTATTATATACACTCGATATCAAAGGCAGTGATTCGACGCAAACGTTCAAAGAACGATCAGAAAGTAAACAAATAATTTGATTTACGTCGTCAAAGTCTTCTGGCTTCAAATAGCGAACAGCCTGTAGTCTTATGTCCTTAGAAGGATCATACAAAGCGAACTGAAGGATAAATCTTGAAGAATGCTTAGGATCCAAAAGATATATCGCGTTTATCGCTTGCATTCTCACTTTATCATTAAGAGACCTTCCTATAAGCATTATCTGGTCCAGAACTCCTTGTATATTTGGAAATAGAGCGATTCCGAAATTCAATAAAATGTGAATTGCCAAAATTGTTGAATCTTCTGAGGAATTCTCAGTAGACATACCTAGAATGATCCATGATCTAAGAATATCAGTCATACTAGTGAATACTTTCGGCTGTAGCTTCAATAAATTGATAAATTGAGTTGTCGGTTGCGGATTTATGAAAAAAATGTAATCTAACTCATGATTTGGGAACTTTACAAGTAGTTTTTCGGCAATATCGTATACTAAATAGTATTCTACCCTTAATTCTTGGTTTTGGAGAACGGATATTAAAATATCAACAATTTTATTGTAAATTAACACACTTTCGCTTAGTTTATGCACAAGAACACGTAGTACTTTAAGATATATGTGCATAAACTGTATGTTTTCCATTGAATTTTTTAAATTATCCAAAATAAATTTTGTAATTTCTGGAGAAAACTGGTTATACTTTGCTTTTGCGATTGTTTTGATGAACTTGTACCAGTATATTTGTGTTTCGAAGTTGATATTTGGCAAAATATCGTATAAAACTTCAAAAACAGAATCTGCTGACAAAGGACTGGGAACTGACTTGAAAAGAGCATGTCCAAGTAATACAGGTACTATGGATTGTCTGTTCTTCCATTGTTTGAGCATTTGTATGCATAAATTAAACTTATCTGTTGCAAATCTTGAAGAAATCTCATCAGGAAGCATTCTTAAGTGTATTTTAAATAGTTTCTCACCAACTAGACGCAAAACTTTGTTGTTGGAGCAAACAGCGGTTGTTATATCTTGCATATGCTTAATTGTAACATTTAAGATGTTTATTGAGTCAATTTTAGCAAGCTGATACAAAATTAGAAAAGCATTAATATAGTACATATCTTTATTTTCAGGAGAAAGCATGTCATTAACGAGGCTGAGGATTTGAGATAAAAATTGTTGAAAATTTTCAGTATCTATGATGATGTAATAGAAAAATTTGGCAAACATTTGTGCAATATTAATATTTTTTGTGTTTGCCCATTTGATTACTGTAGGAAAATACAAATTTAAATGTTCTATTGATCTTCTAAAGTAATGAATAACAGAAATTGTTAATAAACAGCGTGATAAGTCTATTTCGGATTGGTTTCCAATACTTTTAATCTTTTCTTCTAGTAAATTAAAAGTATTAGAGATTTCATTGTCGCTAAGCGCTAGAAGAGATTTTCCAAATATGGATATGGTCTTCTGACGCTTTCGTTTCCAATCCTTGTAATTGACTTTATCCAGAATCTCGAATATGTTTTGGGCATTCACATTTGTCATCAAACTTATTCGAGATTGGCAAATGTCATTTGAGAAAATGACATTGTGAGATATAACTAATTCACAATATTATATTAATTTTAGTTTTTAAGATATTTTCGGAAATGAAACATCATTTAACGAGTTGAGGGAAAATGATTCTTGGAAAGCTCTCTAAATTGCAATTATTTTCATTGAATAAAAGAATTCCCTAATCTGATGCTACACTTGATGCAAAATTATTAACATAAAACTTATGAGATACTCATATTATCAAAAATTGGTACTTTCAACCATAATGGATAATTTAAATCAGAATAAACCTTACTTTCATCATAAAATTATTTAAAATTGATTATTGCTGGGACTGTAATCGTTACATTATAAGGAATGCATTAACATGATGTATTGTGACAAATGATCAAATGGAGTTTGTATATAATATCAAAAATTTGAATCTTTTTGAATGTGTCATGAGATACAGGTCAGACTGATTAAATACGTGATTTTTATGATACGTCATATGTGATAACAAATGAGAGAACTCGATATTACAATGAATTTAAAACTTGTATATCTTAAATCTTTCCGAAAGTATATGAATGCTATGTAAAATTTTCCACACATCTGTTTTATATAACAAATTTATAAATAACTCCAATAGCAGTAATCATAACTGTTACGGTTTTTCTTATGTAAACGGCTTCGATTTTCCGTTTGAAGTTGTCACCTTTAATAATATTAAAAAACATTAGATAATAATGGCTGCAAGAAACAAACGTTCATTAGGCATAGATTATTCAGTACTCGATACAGAATCGGGTAAACTCAGATATTCTCCTGTCAGTCTTGAAGCATCTTCATCAATTCTTCAATTAGCATTTGATAATCCAAATCTCAAATTCAAGGGACTTGCATCATCACCAGATTTTGTTCCAATATTGCATTACTGCGCAATTTCAGTTCGTCGTTTCGTTAGCAACGTTGAACGAGACATAAAGAGTTTAATTAAAAATGCACAAAAATCGCAAACACCATCACTTGCAGAAGAATTATTTATTATCGAAATCTTCATTATTCATGGCATTGAATTCACGGAAGAAGCTTTTCCACAGATTTTAGAACTTTATCCAAACTTTGAAAAGGATTTAGCGATCTGCCTTCAAAAGACAGAAAATCTTGGATATCTGAAGGATTCTATCCTCAAGAAAAAGGACGAAGAGTTCGAATTGTCGGATGAAGCTTTATTAGAGATTTACAACAAGTCAGAGATCGAATTCTGGTGCATCATTGTCGAATACGAGCGCTACAACATTATCGTATCTCTTATTCAAGAAATTCGTACAAATAAGAGGTTTGATTTCCCTACCGAGTTCTTGTTGGCCAACTTCCGTGGCTCTCCGAAATCAATGAATGTTATCAAAGAATACATCAAATCTAACTTTGAAAACTTCTTTGACGATGAAAGATGGATTCGTTCTTTTGTTCAAGAGACAACAGAGATATTGGACTTCCTCATTCTCGACATGGGCATAAACTCCAAGAAACTCAGTAAGATCAGCACTCTCTACGTTCCTCTTCTGAAAGAATTTTTCTATCTCGTGCAGTTTGGCAAAGCCGATTACAAGCAGTTGATTTCCTTCATTACTATGGTCAAAGATGAAGATTTCCACACAATCCTTGAAAAACAGCCAATTATTGCCAATGAATTCAGATCATTCTTCTTAACATACATCGACTTACTTTTCAACAACCAGAAATGGACAAAGTATGTCGAACAGTCCTCAGTTCTTCTCTCTTATATTGGCATTAACTTGTATACTTCAATTCCAAGCCAAATCAAGAACCAACTCCCCGGCCTTACCATTCTTATCATCGCAAACTTCATTGTCAACAACAATATCGAGCAAATGGTCAACATCATCGTTACAAATTCTACTTCCTTCCTTGTCGACGTTCTCCAGAGCGACAAGGACCACGAAATCAGATTCCAGAATATCTTTATCCCCAACTTCGACTCCTTCATTGTTGACAAACGTTTCAGAGATTACATTTTATCTTCAGATTTGCTTCTTAACATCATTGTTACCGATGTTATACCTAAATCTGATACAAAGCAACGCGAAATCTGCCAGGATCTCTACGAAGAATACCTTACTCGCGTCCTTAATTCGACACATAACATTGTTTTGTCAGATTTCGTTACTTTGATCACTTCCGCTCAAGCCAAGCAGTTCCTCAACTTCGATGTTCTCCGTCCATCCCTTCAAGTTGCCATTTTCCAGTCAGTTGCGAGAAAATTAACTCCAGCCGAGCTTTCCGCCAACAAGAAGGTCTATACATCCTTCTTCTCGTCATTCCTGAAGAACCATACTCTCTTGCTTCTCATTCCTGAGGAGCTCCGCCGCCCATTCTTCATGACTGTTGTTCTTCCATACATAACAGCCAACACAATTGGCCTGACTGTCATGCAGATGTACGATTTGGTCATTTCTATTGTCGATGACCCATTCGCCGACCAAGAAAGACCAGATTTCTTTTTCTTCATCGTTGAACATGCGGAAGAACTCCTTCCATCGATCAAACAGAATCCGAAATTGATGGAAACACTCTGGGACTTCCTCACAAACACCCAATTGGACTTAAGAGCCAATGATTCCAAGAATTTCATCTTTAATATCTGCGTTATCAAGCTCAGAACCGAAATTCCAGATAACGCAAGACTCTATCAGATGACAACTGCCAACTTCTCACCAGAAGTATTCGAAAAACTCGACCAAACCGCCAAAACCGAAATAATTTTCAAGATTTCGGAAGCATTCAACCGCCCACTCGAACCATTGTTTGCGGAACCAACCCAGAAGCAGTTATACACAGATTCTGCCCAATCCTGCCTTGATTTACTTGCCCAAGACAAAGAATTTGTTCCAACCATCAGTTTAGTGCTCAAAAGAGAGAACAAAGAGTTTATTAGGCTCTTAATTAATGTTTTCTCCAAAGAAAGGCCATTCCTTGAGCTTTTCTCCCGTCCAGAAATCTTCATGAACTTCATGACGATTTCCTTAGATTTATTCCAAGTTTTAGTCAAAGGATTAGTATTAACTAACGATCGATTCGAGCATTTCTTCTTGTTCTTGCAGAGATACGCCATGGACATCTCTTACAATGACACATTGAGACATGCTTTGTTACTCTATTTCATTACTAATGATGCAAAACTTGGAAAATTTATTCCTTTTGTCACTTCACCTACATTTAGAGCATTCTTTTTCACTGATTTCACTGATCCAGCACGTAACTCTGTTCTCGGGCAAGTGTTCAATACATACCTCGATAAGGCAAGATCATTTGAAACACCTATGTCCGCAATTTTCAATGTTTTCGTGACAATTTCAAATTTGTCATTTATCAATGTCAAAAATCACGAATGCGTTGTTAATGATTCAGTTAATTACTTCAACTTTAACAAGAACGAGTACGAGTTCGACGCGATGTTCCCGAAGCAGAGACAGATAGAAATAGAAAACGCTCTGTACGCGTTGATTGTAAATGTCGGACCAGTCAAATTCATTGAATTTTTGAAAGCATTTGACGGTTTACATCCAGGACCAAACAACTGTTTCAAGGAAGCTACTGAGAATGCTTTATTGTTGTACAACGACATGTACGAGGAAGAACCCGATGAATCCGTTGTTGAATACGAAAGGAAGCATCCAAGATTCAGAAGATTCGTTCAAAAACCTGACAGATTCAATGAGTTTGTTCATGGTATTTTAGCTGTTTCTTTGATGATTTACTTGGGAATATTGAGTTGGTCAACTAGCCAAGGAAAGACTGTTTCATGCGCAGTCATTGGATCTATTGCAGCATTCATGGTTGCATTCACTCCTTTGTATTTCCCTGTTTTGGAAAAACCAGGATATACTCCTTGGTTCTGGATTTCGATTGTTTTAGTCATTGTCAACTTCGCTTTCTCTTTCGCGACATTTGCAATGACAAAGACTTACGACTACAATGTTCCTTTAGTTATTTTGATTGTTTTGTTCGCGATTGTGTCTTTGCACAGGGTTATTCACAAGTTGCAAGGAATTCCAGAAGAGGAATATGATGAAGGTGATCTTCTCATTATTAACTAATTCCTTCCCCTTTTTTTAGATTTTCTTATATTTTATTTTTATTTTATTTGTGTTGATATTTATTATTTACATTTATTTTATTTTTTAAAATATTATAAAACTTAACTTTTTTTAACAGTTTATCGATTGTTTTTTTATAATCAAGAAACTAGTCAGAATCGCGTTAGTTCTCTTTCATATCAATTGAACTTCATCAAATTTTAACATATATATTTCTCATCAGTTACTAGAATGTAGTATGCAGGGTAGGATGTACATTTTCGTGAAAAAAAAAAGTAGCCGATAATAAAAATATCATAAAGATATTATATTGTTTTCGTGTATTTTCAGAACTATCATTAGATCGGCAACTGAACTCGTCAGCAATTTTTGAACCTGAAAAATTTGGAAACGTTATATAAAATAGATTCTGATGAAATAAACTCAATTTACTTATTCTCAGTCGCTTCCTTGAAACAAATAGATTCTGATCGAATAAAAAAAATCTTGAAATATATTTGAAGAGTCATCTAAATCTATTATCAAGTTAAGTTTGCAGCCATGGCCAAAATTTTGGCCACCTGAAATATTGGGTCTATAATAAATGTAGAACCATTTGGTAAAACAGGTGTAAGCCATTCAATTTATTTCAAATTCTTAGAATTTTGAGTAGCATGGATATAGCAATAGTAAAAAGTTCTCAAATTATGGAGCAGATTAACTTACTTTGAGATTCACTTACTTATTTAAAGTTGCCTCAAAATCTCGATTGAAAGGCATTGAATTTAGTTTTGAGAAGACTGTTTTTCATTTTGAGAATTATTAATTAGCAAATCATTATAATCATATTGAAATTAAGTTATCAAAAATGTACTCGCACGAAGGATCCGCTCGACAGATTTCCAAATAAATTGCGGATATATTATCAGTATAGACATGGTATTTCATCCATGAGTTTGCGTGGAAATCTATAACAGATTTATGGAATTCTAAATTATCATGAATTCATTCTTTGATTTTATAATAATTATACTATACTAAGAATGACAATTGTTGAATAATATTCAAATTTGTATGAGATACATTTTTTAAAAACTTTGAAATTAGAAATAACAGAGAGTGAAATGTGAGTAATTGTATTAGGATTTACATGGTATATGTATGAGTTATTTAGTACAAAACTTGCTTGGTTACTAAAATTTCAAATTAAATTTTCCGGATTTATCATTAAATCATGCATGTTAATGGTAAAATTACAGCTTAGAAGATGGAAATTAAGAGGGCTACTATATTCGGTCTGAAATTTTGAATTTAATATGGAATTCTTGTATACATTTTAAAGTCGAGTTTATAGAACAAAATTGGGGTAAATATCATCTAGATAAAGTTACCTGTTATATGAAATCGGCTAGAATTTGAGTTTGAAGTTTCCAATTATATTGCCGTTTAATAGTTTATTTATTCAGAAAATTCAAATGTCTACGGCATAATTATAAATATGCGTTTTTTTTTATTTACACACATGTAATAATGCAGATACATCCGATTAAGACGCAAGCCAAAAGATCACTGCGATGCAGACGATTGCATAAACTCCATTAAAAACTTGTTAGTTAAGATTGCCAAGTATTATTTTTGTTTTAAATGTGTATACAAGATATAATGATCAGATTTATTATTTAAATGAAGAATGTAGAAAATTAGGCTACTTTACTATAGAAAGTATCGCTCAAATTATTGATTCCGAAACAAAATCCCCAAAGAAAACGCGAAATACAGTGACATTTTCTCAGAGCATAAGGATGTTAAGTAATATTCATCTACTTAATGCTAAATAATCTTTTATAAACTCTCATATTTGCTATTTTATTATTATTTCATATTTTTTGTATTATTATGCGAGCACTTCATAGGTAGATTACATTAACCCAAAAAACATTCGATAATTCTTTGTCTTAAAATTCCAAAAAAAATTCAAAATTTTTAAAATCAGAATCAAAAATATGATTTTTAACTTCAAAAAATGAAAATTGAAAAAAATTTGGAAATTGAAAGTACATAAAAATACGAATAGTTTATAAAATATTGAAAATTTCGATCGAAATTCGATTAATTTTTGAATTTTAAAATTAATTCTCAGAATAATAAGATATGCTTGATTGATTTATCATACACAAGTCTAGATATCTGTAATATATTGTAAAATTAAAAAGTTTTTATAATTATAAAATATAGCAAACTTTTATAAAAATTAACAACTTGTAATATAGATACAAAGACAATAAAGTAGCAATTAAGCAGTATGTTGCACGAAAATTGGATCCAGCTCAGTAATACGAGAAAATGGATATTTAAATTTTTAATTCATGCTAAATTGTATCTGAATTTCAGATTCAATGTTGAAGTTCTGTATTAGCGTGTTGAGAATATCTTGTATCTTTATGAAATATTTTTTTGAAATGCAATATAATCTTTAATCTGTTATAAAGTTTTGAGAAAGTAAGACATTTGTAATAGCTCATAGAGAGCTATAATATATTGAGATTAGGAGGATTTTTATCGAGCCGTTTTGGAGTCGAAAATTTCGACCTCACCAAACTAACTCTCGATAGCATGAATCTAAGGCTCATATGCTGGTAGGAAGCTATGCTAGTTTATACTGAATTTCATGATGTCGAGTTAATTTCGAATAATTTCGGGAGTTAATTTTAATTTTGCTAAAAATTAGATAATGGATATTCTAGAGTCTTGAGTATAGAAATAAACTACGTCAATTTCATAGCCGCTTATTTATCACTGAGACCACAGAAAAGTGATAAAGAGGCATATGAAAATGAAATTTGGGTGTCACTTTTCGTGTAAGTACATTTGTTATCAATTCTCTTAAATTTTGAAAGCTTAAGAAATTTAAAAGCACAAACAAATATATATTATTAAAATCATGGTATTGATCAATTTGAAAAAATTTGAAATTTTGAATACGAACTTTAATGTAAGCTTTAATAGTTGTAACAGAATAGAAAACATCACAGATGGCAACTTAGATTAATGAAAAGTTGGAATTTTTTCAATAAAATTTTATTAATGAAAAAAGATGCATGAAATACAATAATTGTAATATAGATACGTTATACAACATGTTGAATATGTGATCACTATAAGCATAATAGCTTTAAACAAAATAATCATATCAAAATTTGTATCTGTAAGCAGCAAGAGTGTTATATCATAAAATTAGATGTAACTACTTATTAGACAATGAATACAATATAATGCATTGATTAATAGGCTAAAGAAAAAACAATTATATCCTTCAATTTGGACAATCCGAAATTTTTCTTAATTGATTGAATTACATATACATTAATTTACAATTGAGTGATATCAGCGAGAAACTTATATGCACATTTAACTTTATCAGATCGCAAATGAAAACATGGAATTCATTGTATGTTTTTCAATCCTAGCTCCAGAAAAATGATACAAAGATGAATAAGTAGTAATGTCTCTAAAATAAGGTACAAAACAAAAAATTACCAACAATATACTTAATTTCGGCTATTATGATGAAAAGTGAATATGTCAAAAACATTTATTCCATCATCTTGTTATCTGTACCTCACCACGGACGGATGTGAAGAGAGATCAATTTCCAAAATTTTACCAAAAAGAGATTAGGCCTAATTTTTATGGCCAATCTTTATGATTTGTTACACAGATACTAGATCTACTACTCCCCATTCATTTTTTGAATGGCCCCGTTTTTTAATCCTTCATTTTATGAAAAATGCCAATGTTATACGAGTATTAATATATTTATTTTTTGTTCTCAATAAAGGTATTCAAAAGTCAATATAAACTATTCAAAATTGAGAGGAAACTCATTGAGAGGCTCGGAATTCGAGTAGTAAGGGTAAATTTTGAGAGCCACAAAATTTTTACAAAGCATTAATTTACCCTTTGTGCTCTACAATTAACTACGGTTCTCATACAAAATCACTAACAAAGATGGTGTAAACTTTTTTATATTTATTTATTTCAGTGAAGTGAGGTGAGTTTTGGCTAGTCAAAATTTTTACAAAACATGTCGAGTTCAGAGCAACCAAAAAATGAAAATTTGTGCATTTACAATGAACTTAAGCCAATTAAAGTATTCGAATACCCAGATCAAGCATCAAAAATTATTTGGAGTGTCAATTCCAATAATATTATACAAATATCTTCACAAATTGTCGAATTAATAACAACTCACAAAATGTCTATCCAAATGGCATTTTATTTGATTGATATTTTTTCACAAATTCGTGTTAAAGAAATCAAATTATTTTCAGAACTTTATCAAAAGATATCAAACGCATTTTCATGCATATATGAACCGAAAAATAAGAGATTAGCGACGCTTCTACATTATCAAGGTTTCAAATTCCAAAACTTCGAACCCAAAATGAAAGAAGAAGAAATTCTGAATTTATATTCAACAGAATCTCCTTTATACTATATTGCATGGGATAAAGTTAATGATCTTAAGATTAAATTCCCAAATCTTGATATTAATCAGAAGATTAATGATATCACACCACTTGACTATGCAATTAAATATGGCTCAGAATTATGTTTCATTTACTTGAAAAATTTAGGAGCTAAATACACTAAAGACTCTGAAAAATTTGCTGTTCAAGGAGGAAATAAAGAGATTTTTATGCAAATGATTGAAGATGGTGAATCATTTGATAACATGATTAATATAGCATTGGATTACCGAAACTATGAAATTGCAGAGTATCTTAAATCAAATTTTGGACAAACTCCTGATTCAATAGCAGAAAGTATGCATTTCGGAAATTACGATATTGCATCTTATTTACTTTCTAATGGAGAAGATATCAACAAAATTTATCATCTCTTTCTTTTCATATTTATCATTATCTTATAGAATTCTTTTTCATTTCATATTTATAATTGTTTTATTATATTCTCTTTCTTTTCATATTTATCATTATTTTATAACATTCTCTTTCTTT